AGCACCAGCAGCAGCAGCAACAGCAGCAGCATCAGCAACAGCAGCAACAGTATCTGGACGAGCTGCAGCAGTCGCACCAGCAGCAACTGACGGCAAATCTGTTCATGGCCAGGACAATAGCTCTGAGCAGGTCACGAGATTTTCCGGAACTCTTCCAAAGCACCATTGCCGCGGCGGCTGCGAATGCGACAGCTGCATCGGCCAGTCCGGGGCACAATGCCAGTGGACCTGGTCAGGTGGTGGCACCCGGACCCGGACCGGGACCGGGACCGGGACCAGGAAGTGCTGCACCCGTGGCCGTGGGAAGTGGCAGCGGAGCGGCGGCCGGAAACAGCAACTACATGCTGCCCTGCCCGCTGTGCGAGACGCCACTGGAGCAGCGGGTGTTCCGGCAGCACCTGGACCGACACTATCCGCGCGACAGTCCCGTCTGTCCGGTGATCGAGTGCGGCCGCCGGTTCGCGCATCCCAACTCCGTGCGGAATCACATGCGGATCAAGCACACGTTGCAGTGGGCCAAGATGAAGGCCATGCGGTCGTCGGGCGGCCCCTTCGCCGGCGGTCCGGACTTCAAATGAAACTGCGAGGCCGTGGGCTAATGTTACTCCGCGTAGTCGCGCTAAAAGCTTTCTAGGTTGCTGCTTCTCAGTCAGTCAATGGCGACAATAAATCGAATCTAACTCGCAATCCACGAGAAATCACCCAGTCTCGAGACACTCGCATCTATCGTAGATAGCCAAAAGTAGTCCAAGACCCAGTCGGAGTCCACTATAACTAACAGTAACTGTAAGCGCACGAGAGATCCTTGCCCGAAAGCCAACTACTGTGCGCCTCCTGCCAGCCATTCACTGAAACTCCTCCAAGTGGTCAATTAGTATTTCGAAGCATTCATTTTGGTCCCTAACAGGTTTCAGTCGCGTTACCAAACAGTTCTCCGGGTCTCCTTTAAGGATTGCTCACCAAAGGATTCAGTATGATTCATTCATTGTTTTATTCATTATTTTTGCGTAGCACATCCATATATGAGTTAAAATTTAGAGGTTCATATTTCCAACGAAGAAGAATACGATTGCAGAGGAGATTCGTGACTGGCGGCGATGGATGAACGCTTTGGGCTGGGAAACTTACAACAATTATTACGTTCCTATATGCGATAAAGTACATATACTACAAGGCAGACACCTACAGCTCTAATCCGTTTACCTAAGGCAGAAGTAAATCTCGAACTCTGAATTCCTTTACACCAGCTGCTGGAGATAATCTGTAGGTTCCGCTCCAGAAACGCTCCAAACGCTCCAGTTAGGCATGTGCAGTATTAAACCAAAAGCTAACGAAACCGAAGAACTACACACCACAACAATAGTAACATTAATTCATAGAGTTCCATAAGCGAAATACGTACGATTAAGCCATAGAGGGTGAGATAACTATGTAGATAAAGAGCTAAAAACAAGCAAACAAAGAAACATGATATATAGAAGTATATAAAGTAGATATTATGAATATTGATACTGAAACAAAATAGAATGTGCCTGCGTAATATATTTTTAGCCAAAAAAGTAAAACGAAAAACTGAAAACTGAAAACTAAAAACAAGTAAACCAAAGTTGAGCATTAAAATGAGATACGAACTAACATAAAAATAAAAATAAAAACACTGAAAACTGAAAACGATTTGTATTAGAGAAAGTTCAAAATTCGAGGAGAAATTCTGTTGATTACCCTAGGTTCACTAAACTGTAATTCGAATCAATTGGCGGCAAAACACTCCAAGAGCAGACATACGTAAAAAGGTTCCTATAATGTTAATCAAAAACTCACTAAAAGCTCCAGACAAAACTGGCTAAATGATGGCATCCCGATGCTGACTAAATACAAATTCTATTTCGAGCGGACAATTTTACAATTGTAGTTTATAAAGCCCAAAGAGAAAACAAGCAGCCATAAGTACAGCGATTGTACAACCGTTTGTATGCCATTTTAGTTTGCGAAATTGTCTGAGGGGCGAAAACAAATGTATCTAGTACGAGTATCTTGTATCTGCGTTGCCTGAAGGAATGTATTTGGAGGTGGCAAATCTATTTTGGTGAACAATAAAGAGCAAACGAAGACTAGCTGGCTTTTCATTGGTCTCTCCATAAGCGGAACGATGAGTGGACGAACCCAAGACTAATCTGTGCTTTAATGTATCTTACAGTTTCACGACGCTCCCTGGAAATGCGTGTCCGAGCCACAGATCCGCGTCCCTGCCCCAAGTGCGGAAAGATCTACCGCTCCGCCCACACACTGCGCACCCATCTGGAGGACAAGCACACCGTGTGCCCCGGCTATCGATGTGTGCTCTGCGGCACGGTGGCCAAGTCCCGCAACTCCTTGCACTCGCACATGTCGCGCCAGCATCGCGGCATCTCCACCAAGGACCTGCCCGTCCTGCCCATGCCCAGCGCCTTCGATCCGGAGCTGGCCTCGCGCCTCCTGGCCAAGGCGGGCGTCAAGATCTCTCCCGCGGAGCTGAGGGCCAGGGCCTCGCCCACCGGCGGAAGTGGCAGCAGCGGCGGAGGAGGTGGCGGCGGAAGTGGTAGTAGCCAGAACAAATTGGATCTTAGCAACGCCAGCGGTGGACCTATGGACGATGCCGAGGACTCCGACGACGATCCCGAGGACCTGACCACGGGCAACGGCTTGTATGGAATGGGCGGAAGCAGCAGCGATCTGAGCCGCTACCACGAGAGTCTGTTGAGCAACTTCGGGCACGCCAGGATGCGAAATGAGGCGGCTGCTGCGGCGGCCACTGCAGCCGCTCTTGGTCAACCCAAGGACTTGGGCGTCCAGATGCCAAACAGCAATGCGCCTGGCCAATCCCTGCTGGACACCTATCTGCAGTTCATAACGGAGAACACATTCGGTGAGTTCGGCAATGCACTTTTAAGTATGCCGTAAGTAATTCCTGTCCTCTTCCTCGACATTAGGCATGGGCATGTCCCAGGAGCAGGCCGCTGCCGCAGCACTGCGCGCCAAGATGGCCCAGCTGAACGCGATGGGTCACAGTCTGGACAACCTGCCGCCGGGCCTGCTTCCCGGACAGTTCGATCTGAGCAAGCTGGCCGCCGGGAATCCCGCCTTTGGACAGAGCGGACCCGGACTGACCATTGAGCCGATACTGCGGCACGAACAGGCAGCGGGCAGCCTTTCGCCGAACCGACCACTGGCTCTCAACTCGGGCGGCAGGATGATGGGTCACGATGAAATGGCGGAAAACGATGGCGACATGCGGCGGGAGGGATCGGAGCCGATGGATCTGGGCCTGGACAACAATCAGTCGGGCAGCAACCATGAGGTGGCCAACTCCGACGCCGAGGAGAACTACTCGGAGGACGAGGGAGTGCACAACACATAAGAGGAGCACGAGGCTCCAGCGAGGGAACCACCAATATGAACATGAACATGAACATTAACAGTTGTATACCGATTACCCATGGAACATATGTAACGAGTAGCCTTATCCTCATGTATACCAGTTTATGTGTACGATACGATACAATACGATAGTGAAACCTAGGACTAAAATCATATTTGTGCCGCTGCCAGAGCTGGCCTAGTAGAATTCTATGTTGTGCTTATTAAACTACATAACTACACAGATATACAGACATATATATATATATATATATATATAGATATATCCCTATACACATGTATATTTATAATTTATATACACAAGTACCTGCTGTGTATACAAGCCGATGAGAAGAAGAAGTGAAAAGCCCCAGACAACCCATCCTGCATGAAAAAGAAAACTTAATGGTAGTCCAGTAGTACTAGTGCTAAGTTAGATTTCACATTGAAAGAGATGCCTGTAAATACATAATAATATTCATGTTAGGCCAACAGCAGCCCCCAAACGATCCGTCGTATTAGTATTGTACCAGACGCCAGCTAACTCAGCAGATAATTCAGATGTGCCATGCATGCCACAGCCTTCCAGTTCCAAGACTAGCCAGTCTATACCAGTGCTTACCATATCTCAGGAACACTTGCGGACAAATCCGAACAACTCAACCGAACTACCTCAGCCAGCGAAAGAGCTGAATCCCCGAAATGAACCTCAGACTTCCAAGAGTTGTGACTGGTCGCGCACTCCATCTCCAGTTTCCTGGAGACTTGCCAATTTTCAGCAGCAGAAACCTGCTCCTAGACTTAGGATCCTAAGGGGATCAGCAAACAAGAAATTGAATGTTTATACAACTTACATGCGGTATACAGTGCACGCTCGGTATACGTATTTACACTTAAATATACAAACATATGAATGCCTGTACTTATTTGTCAGAGAATTGAATACCTCAGCATACTCAGCATTCGGTCGTTAGCACTCGAGGGCGAACCCCCTAATGATATCCCGTGCGAATCATACTTATACTTATACTTAAATTAGGCTAGTTAGTTTATGTGGCAGCACTGCAAGCAAGACATAGATAGATGTAACTACCTGTTTCCTGTATGTATTTAGTTCGAATATGCCTCAGTTATCCTAGGTTAATGGTTAGCTTCAATCGGAGATGAGCACAGACTCTACAAGAGTCGCTACAACTTGCCTTATGACCAACATATGTGTTAATTTAGTAATCTTCTACCTCAATTAATTTAAATGTATTTTACTTGGATATTTATTTGTAAGTCCTTAACCGCACTCTCCAATATGTAACTTATTTCACTGGCATGCGTGTTTTAAAAATCTACTTAACAGCATAGCGAGAGATAAATAAAAAAAAACACAATAAGAACACGAGAGTATCTTTAGTTTTGATTTACCCGGTGTAGATTTTTATTTGGTTCTAGACACTCCTCTCACTCTCGCCCAGATTTTGGGGCAAGGGGAGTGCAATAGATTGCATTTTTAGGCTTGAAATGCATTTATGGCTAATGCGATTCGGTTAAGACGGTAGATTAAAATATATTAGTTAAAGTCGTTATATAAGCAATATAAGTAGACATCCATGTGCTTAGAAAGTTATATAAATATTTATTGACATTACAATAAAGCCGCGTTATGAAGACAATATGTGTATTACTCAAAATATGCGGATTCTTTTTCGTTTGGTAATAATTAATCAACTTTAATTAAAATACTGACTTAACAAAAAGAGATTTTTAAGTATAACACATTGAATGTAGGCGGATGACACACAAAATTAACTTAAACCAAACCCATACACATATTTACACTTATAAATATAAATATACTACCTAGTGACTTATTTAGCTGATGTAGCTGTTTCATATTTTGCGATCTTATTCCGCAAGACATCCAACTCGTCTTTTCGCATCGCCAAAATTCGTTTTGCCGATTCGTACTTATTTTTGATTGCCAAAATTTCCTTTTTTTGGGACTCACACTGTGCCTGTAAAAACAATATTTTATACAAGAAGTACTTAAGTATTGATGCAAATTACAACCTTCAATGCGCTTGTTTGTCCAGCTGAGAGTGAGGTTATATTCGATGTGTCGTTGTTTTCGTTTTGCCTCAGCTTCTCCTCCAGATCCTTGATGAGATTGTAACGGGAGCGCAACAAGCGAACAGCATCCTGATACTTTATGTTCGTTTTCTCAAGGATTTCTTCGAGATCGGATTCCGTCTGAGTTTGGGCCGGTACGGTAGCAGACTTCGCAACCTGTGCTGTTTTGTTAGATCCTGGTTCTTTGGACAATGCGGCAGCAGCGGTCAAGTCATTAATCTTTGCGTTTAGATCTTGAAGCTTCATCTTAAGCCGTTTCTGCTCAAAGCGTGCCTTGTCCTGCTCCTCCAGAACTCTTTTCTTCAGTTGCGCGTTCTCGTCCTTCAGCGGATGATGCTTCAGCTCCATGCCCAATGCTGTCAATTGGCTGTCGCGAATGAAGAGCTCGCGCTGGCAATCCTGAAGCTTGCAATTCAGCTCCACACAGTTGCAATTGTTGTCTGAAATTCGGTTCATTGAGTGGGAAATCTAGAGGAAATACTTTGCAAACATCTCTTACCAACGGGATCTGTCATGGTGCCAAATTCCCGAACGTCGTTCCAGTAAGACTGCCGACGCTCATCGTGGACGCTGATGCGTCGATTCTTCCGTATTTCGGATTCAGAGGTTAGCGATTTCTACAAAACGACAATACATTTAGTGAAGTACTATGGCCAGAGGCTATATGCTTATTTGCTATTTACCCTTGGCTCTGCGTTCCGATCTAGACTTTTTCTCGCCGCGGGAGCACCTAGCGAACCGTTTGAGGCAATCGACTCGATGGAAGCGTTATTTGAACTGACTTTAGGTGCTTGTAAATTGCCTAGTTCCGCCTCAAGCTTAGCCGCAATATCGTTGACCGAGCACAACTTTTCCTCGAGGTTGCGTTTGTCTTCTAAAAGACTTAGGATGGTAAAGTCCATACGTTCCTTCTCTGACTGAAAACTGGATTCCTTGGATTTCTAAAAAATAATTTTATAAACTAATTTATAAAGCTTAGCAACAGGATATCGAACTTACCAGAGTTGACCGGAGCTGCTCGCACTCTTTTATGAGTTCTTGAAGCTTACTCCCATTATCGTTAGGCATTCTCAGCTTTTCCTCCAGCTTCCGCTTTTGCTCGTTGAGATTAAAGACGTTACTGTTTAAGTTCTCCTTCTCCTTTTGGAAAGTGGTCTCTTTCAATTGCTAGAAGAAATCAAATAATAATTTTCTGTGAACAACCATGGTAGCTTCACTATTACCATATCAAGTCGTAGCTTTTCGCACTCCCTTGTCAGTTCGTCAAGCTTCTGTACCAATTCACGGTTTTTAATATTGCCCTCATCTACGCCCAAGTGGAGCTTCGAAAGGTCTTCTTGCAGAGTTGCACATTCTGCCTTGCTGGATGACAATTGAGCATTAAGGCGAGCATAGTCTTCATCTTTCTCCCTAAGAATGGTCAGCTTTTTCTCCAACTGCAGTTTAGTTTCTTGTAGATCGAGGTCTGTGCTGTCTTTTTCCCTCTGGAATATGAAGTAATTTATGTATTTAAATATCATTTTCATATAATTGTAGGGAGGCTAAGAAATATTCTTACCAGATCACAGCGCAGTTTTTCGCACTCCTTGGTGAGTTCTCCAATTCTGTTGTGGCTCAGCTCCACCTCAGATTTACTGGCTTGCAACTGCTGTTCGAGGTAAGATTTTGCTTCTTCCACTTTGCTTAATTTTTCTTTCAGGGAGGCACACACCTTTTCCCCCTCTTTCCACATGTCCCGCAGATTTTCAGAATTTCTAAGCTGTACTTTGAGCTCTGCATTTCCAGACTCAAGGCTATCTTTAGTTCCTTGCAGAGAATTGAGCTTCAATTGGAGCTCGCCCATCGATCCTTTTAGATCAGCCGCGTGCCGTGTAAACTTCTCTGCCTGAGTTGCCATCTGCTCCTCGACTTCTTTGAGCTGCGCTACCAGAGTTAATTGTTCCATACTAGCAGTTGTCTTTGCATCCATGGCGTTCTGCAGTTCTGCGCGCAGCTCTTCGATTTCCACATCTCGTCTCGAGATTTCCTTTTGGCAATCACTCAATTCCGATTGCAGGCTCTCCACTTTCTTTTGCAAGTTTGATGACAGTTTATTTGCGTCGGCAATGCAGACTGTTAGGTGTTCGTGCTGCGATACCAAATCGTCATAAAGAAGAACTTTCTGTTGTGCTTCCTTCAGGGCTTCTTCGAGATCGGTTATTTTGGAAGTAAATATATCGGACTTAGTTGTGAAATCGCTCTTTTCCATCTCATTCCGATTCCTTAGGGCTATAATTTCAGCTTGGACTTCCTGAAGCTTATCCAGGGTGCTAGAATGCTCTACCTTAGTCTTTTGAATCTCTGATTCCAGGGCCACTTTCTCCAGCCTGAGTTTATCCAGGTCCAGAACCTGCTGGTCACACTTTTCCTGGAGCTCAGCGATCCTTTTCTTCGAAGAGGCCACAATCGAATCCAGCTCTTTAATATGTGCCTGTATTTCCAAACTGTTTTGGTCTTGAGTAAGCGATTGCATTTCCAGCTGCTCCTGGGTCTTACTGCACCGCTCCTCTAATTCGGCGTTGGCTAGTTTTAAGTTATTGAATGCCAAGTCTTGCTCAGCTTTGGTTTTCTCCAACTCAGTAATTGTATCTGACATCTCACGTCTGTCACTAGCCATCTGCTCCAGCGTCTTTTGCGCCTCCTCAAGCTTCGAAGATGCCGTATCGCGCTCCTCTTCCGTTTGGGTCAATTGCTCCTTTAGCATGGCTCTCACCTCGGTAATTTCCGCTTGGAAGGCATCTTCCATTTCGGATTGTTGTGATTTAGCCTCAGCTATCTTATTTGTAAGCGTTTCTCTGATTGCCTCCATTTCTGCCTGGTGCTTGGCAGTCAAGTTGTTTCTTTCCTCCTCAGCCTGCGAAATGTTTTCTTGAAGAGCAGATTTAAGCCCTTCCAACTCCGCCTGACAGCGAGCCGTAACACTGGAGAGTTCCTCCCCTGCCTGCAATAGGTGCTCCTTTAAGGCGTCCACATGGCTCTCATAACGATCCTTAGTCTCCTGCAACTCATCGCACAACTTGCCTTGATTCTCTTGCTCGATCGTTTCGATCTTCAGCAAAAACTCCGTTCGCAGAGCACTTATTTCATTATCTTTTACCCGCCGTACATCGAGTAGTTCTTCTTTGGCTGCCTTTAGCAATTGGTTAAGTTCCTCGATTTGGCTATCATATTGGGAGGAAAGTAGCATCTGATCCTGCTTTGCATCCGCGAGGTTGAGAGATTCCGTCGCTCCACGACATTGTTCAACGAGCTGCGCATTTTTCTCTTGAAGCTGATCGATGAGGCGTAGGTCATCGGACAGCTTCTGCGCCTGGCGATCCAGCAGTTCCTGTTTTTGCTTAGCATCCTCTTCCAACTCGGCCAGTCTTACCTCCATCGATAAGCACCGCTCACTCATTTCCTCAAAATCTTTCTGTAGTCCCGCTAAGTTACCGTCTTTCAACTGGATCTGTTTTGACTGGTTTTCAAGTTCGGCCTGCAGATCAAATACCTGTGACTGTAATTCTGTTATGGAAGTCTTTAGCGTGGCCACCTCCTGATCTCCTTTACTGGGAGTTGTGGGGCGGCGCGGAAGGGTATCCTCGTCAGGCAGAACTCGAAGCAGACTCTCGCTCATCGAGCTCTCTCTTGTTACTCTATCCTGGAGCTCTTCGTACACAATCGTCATCTCCGCATTTTGTTTTTCCAGGGACTCGATCTGCCGCTGGTAGTCCTCCACCTTGTTCACTATAACGCTCTTTTCCAGGAGAGCAGACTCTAGGTTAGTCATCTGCTCTCGCATTTCGTTTATCGTTGCCTCTGTGGATTCCAAAAGGGCACTCTTCTCTACGATTACCTGTTCCAGCTGCGAAATAATATCAAGCAGTCCCTTTTCCTGTCCCAGTCCCATCTGTACATGTTCCTGGCTAAGTCGCTTTATCTGGAACCTGTGTCGCTTGAGAACTCCTTTAAGACAAATAGATTCAGTTGCATCTGAGTGAAGAGTGTCTTCCTCTATGTACTCAGCAGACTCGAGGCAAAGCTTAAGTTGTGGCTCGCTCTGACCCTGTTCCATTTGGTTGGCTATAAAGAGGCGACAGATGCCGGAGTGATGCTGAAGCTCTATCTGTTGGATGGACTCAGATAGCTGGACAAACTGGTGTAGAAGGTTGCTATCAAGGTTGATGTCCTGCTCCTGTTTGCCAAACTCGGTGCTTATACCGGAACTCCTCCCCGTGGGTCGTAGCTCCTCTCGCAGGGCATCGTTCTCCTGGACACTCTCCATCAGTTGGTTGGAAAGGCAGTCGTTTTCCCGCTGCACCTCCTTAAAGTTAGTCTCCAGCTCAGCAATTTTCGTTTTTAGTTCTTGATTTTGTATTTGAAGCTTTTCCACAGGTGATTCGGAGGCTTGGACTTCCTTAAGCATGTTTTGGGCCTCCTCCACTCGTTCTTCGAGGTTTTTGATCTCGGCTTGCAACTTGGTGTTGTCACTGTGAAGCCGTTGGAACTCAGTGTTAGAGACACTTTCCCTGCGTTCTAACTGCTCATATTCCTCCTGCAGCTCCTGGTACTTCTTCTGAACGATCTCGTGGTTGTCCTGCAGCACTTTCATGCCCACTAGTTGACCCTGCCACTGTTGCTCCAGAGTGCCGTACCTTTCCTGTAGTTGTCGAACGTCATCCTGGGCCGCCGATAACTCTTTCGAAAGTCGCTCGCAATCATTCGTCTTTTGGGTAACTTCGGAACTTGCCAGGTTGAAGGCCGATTCAATGCTCTCTAACTTGTCGCGAACAGAGACTATCTCAGACCGGAGCAGATCACACTCGCAGGCATTGTTCTTGGACTCTAAATCTGCAATCAGCTTCTCCAGTTGCTCACACTTTTTGCACGAACTCTCGCCGGCGCTGTCTTCCGGCTCTATGGCAATGGAAAGCATGTGGTCCTCCTTGCTGTTGCGTAACACATCGCGGGATAAATTATCGAGGGACTTTTGAAGGCTCTCTATGGTCAAATCCTTTTCTGAAAGGGCAGAGAGCAAGTCATTAACGCGAAGTTTCGATGATTTCTTGTGAGCCTCGAACTCAAACTCGAGGCCCACGGCCTCCTGATTCTCCACTTCCAATCTGGCCACAGTCTGTTTCAGAGTACTCAGTTGTTCTTCCAATGCGCTAATCTTCGAATTCGCAGCCTCATTGGTCGCTGTAAGGCTGGTTACCTCGTTTTGAAGAGCACCATTACTATAAGATACACAAGAAGTAAACAATTTGTTAAATACTTCAACTTTAGTTACAAAAAATAAAACAGACAGGATTTTGTGCGGAGTTCTAGTTCTATTAAAAAACTTAACTAAATGTGTTTTTTAAAGTTTGTGTTTAAAACAATATTGCGTATGAATAGATGTTAGATTTTGGGGTGAGTAGCTAAAGCACCGAAGTCGAGTTATGTTTACATCGGTTTTTACGAGGTTGACACGTTGTTTTGGACGACAGCCTCCTTGACAGAGAACACCTCATTAACTCACCGCTCCTTTTCGGCTAATGAATCTTGCTCTAAATGATCCCGCTGAGCTGTAACCTCGACCAGCTTTTCTCTTAAACCCAGCACCTCGTCGCACTCAACCTCAAAGTGCTTCTCTAAGCTGGTGAACATTTGCAGGTCCTGGATCTCGTTCTTGATTTTTTCCCCGCTGTACAAGCAAATAAGTGCAGGGATCGGGTCGTATATGGATGCGGTTGATGTGTGATGAGTGTTATGGAGAATAATTGAAAACTTAGAGAAGTACTTACGTTAAGGGGCCCATGGGAGTGAGGGTCAGGTCTGGCAGTTGCTTGGTGATCAACATCGGTCTGTGAACACCTGGGCGAGGCGATCCAAAGTCAATGCACTCTGCCGGGAGAAATTCCTCACTAATGGAGTCGCTCTCGGTACCGATATTCAGGGATCCCAAAATGTTGATGGTCTTAGGAACGTTGTCCCATCGTTTGCCAGCATTTGAAGTGGGAAAAAACACTGGTTTTGGAAGGTGAGACGCCTTTGAAAATTTGACAAGTCGATCGTCAATGGTGCTGGACTCCGCTGTCTCTGAATGCGAGCCCGATGCAGTGGGACACCAAGTACGGCGTCGCTTTTGCTGGCAATTGTCGCTCAGCGATTGGCTAGAGATTATCTTGTGCATGTCGCGCTTTATTCGCCGCTCCAGATCCTGTACCTTTAGCTGGCTCTCGTTCTTGCGCTCTTCTTCCGCCAGCTTATCCTTTAGTAGTTTTATTTCGCGCTCCAGCCGCTTCATCATTGTGGCGTCAGATACCATCTCGTTGACCTGCGGCTTGATGCGGATCTTCTTGGCACCCGTGGCGAAATTAAGGGTAGACTGCGACTCTTCCATGATTGATGGTTTGATTGTGCAAATGATGGATGTAAATGCATTGCCCCCCAAGGAAGCCTGCAGGATGCGCGTCAGCTTGGAATCGCGGAAGCCGACAAATTTATTGTCCGGGGTTGTCGACAGACTCTTGATAACGTTGCCGAGAAAAAGTAGGCTCTTGTTTATATGACCGCCCTCCTTGAGACGCGCTCCTCGGGCACCCGTTTGGTCCGCCCGCTCTGATCCAGCCAGATCCACCAGGTTCAGCACGCTTTGAATCACTGCGTCGTCATCGCTGCGATCCGACTTTCGGGACTCAATGATCTGTGGGATACATTTTTCAGATTATGTGAGTAATAATAGCAGTCAGAACATACTATCCTGAAAATGGCATGCGAACGGCTAGAGCGCTCGTTCATGTTGGTCTCTCCCACGGTGCGCTCCTTGTTTCCCATGCAGAGCAGACGCAGGAGGTCACCCTCGCTGGTTATGATGCACTCCTCGCAGTTCACGTTCACAATCCCGTTGCCGGACTCGTGGATCTTGAGGTCCTGATTCTTTTTGTTTAGCAGATCATAGATTTTCTCGTTGTAAATCTCGATGTAGCCCACGCGAAGCAGAAAGTCCCGCTCCTTATCACTGGAGATCTGCTGAAAGATCTCCTTGGCGGCGAGCACCATGACACCGGGGTTCTGGTCGTCGCCCATCATGGTGTACGTCTTGCCTGCAAAGCAGCCCGGTTTTAGGTATATAGCGGTGTATATATAGCACAGTACCCACCCGACGACGTCTGGCCGTAGGCAAAAATAGTTCCATTGAAGCCCTGCATGCAGGCGTGCACTATGTGCCTGGCCATCCGGTCGAACACCTCCTGGTTGCTGGCGCCCTCGTCGAACACATAGTCTGCAACACGGAATGGGATGAACATCTTGGGAACCACTCTCTAGGTAACCACTCACCGAAGACAAAGGGCTCCGCGTGGCTGTCCGCCAACTGGATGGAGCGAGCCTCCTTCACCTGCCAGAGCGAAGTGAGCCCGGGCTCGCAGGGACGCACCTTGATGCAGACCTGGATGGAGCTTACGTTCTTTGCAGACATCTTGTTTCAATGCTTTACGATAACACAACGAAGTTTATACACAAACGTAAAGTTCAATGTTTTATAGGGAACAAATAGTGATCGACATTTTTACTTCTCGTTAAATTCGAACAAATACCGCTTTGCAAAATCAGGGACGAAACGGCTTCGATATTTGCTCGTTGCGCTAACTAGTTCGATAGATAAATCGATTGAAATTCTTGTTCCGAACAGGGGTGCACGAAGAGTAGAGGAACCTATGTTTTTATCACACAGGGCTGCATAATCAGAATATGCTGGTCGCTACAGCATACATATATATATTACAAAAATAAATTTTAATAAATTATTTATAATTCGCAGCTACGGTTAAATAACGGTTTCTATGGACAAGCACAAAATTTGATGACTCAAAATTATTAGTTCTAACAGAAAACAAAGGTGAAAATCTTACCTACTATTTTAATTTATAACTTCTTTGAGTAGCCTATGTATACGTTATTTTGCATTATTGATGGCGAATCGTGGACGACCAATCCCATTAAAATATTCTTATTTTAATGTTTTTGGGACGACTGCCATCATTTCAATAAAATCTGGTGTTATATCAGGCAGTATATTTCTGTCTGCGTTAACCAACCACCTCAGCTTTTGTATGTCTGTACTCCATCAGCAACAAATATTTACTGTACAAAGCAACTTAATTTACTGGTCAAATTTATTTTGGAAAAATATAACATATATCTTACAGAACTACTTTAGTCTGGATTCTAGCCACATCAAATGAAATCTTAAAATGTATACCATAGATTATTGTATACGCTATTTTACATAATTTTATTTATTCTCCGGAAATTATAAAAATCTCTCGAAATCTTTTTCGTAATTTTAAGCGCCTAACCCAATTCCCAAATGTACATAACTGGATGCCAGACAAAAAGGATATACTATATCTACTGGAATTATTACCAAGCACGGAATTCTTATTATTAGACTCTCCAGTTGCGCGTACACCCCTAAAGTGTTCCCAGTTCCCAAAGGTTTGTTCAGTGTTCCCCCTGTCCAAAGTGTTCCCTCTGTTCATCGCCGGTCAAAGGGAATTACTATCCAAAGGTTCACATGCGCATACACAGACGCAATTTTATTTGTAAATATTATGTGAGTTTACATATATATGTTACGCGTAACTATATAAACCATAGACTTAACGTTTTTACATATTTTGTTGAAAAGAAAACCACTAAATTAAACTAACTCTTGTCGATTTGCTGGTTCCGTTTTCGGATCTAGTTCGCTTTTGAAGCGGTATTTGTTCGAATTTATTTACAGAAACAAAGAAGTCGATCAAATTAGCTTTTCTTAAACGTTAGAATCTGTATGTGTCCGTCCTTTGTGTGTGTCAAAAACGCTTCCCACAAGTCACAAAGATGTCTGCGATGAACGCCAGCTCCATCCAGGTCTGCATCAAGGTGCGTCCCTGCGAGCCCGGGCTCACTTCGCTCTGGCAGGTGAAGGAGGCTCGCTCCATCCAGTTGGCGGACAGCCACGCGGAGCCCTTTGTCTTCGGTGAGTGGTTACCTAGAGAGTGGTTCCCAAGATGTTCATCCCATTCCGTGTTGCAGACTATGTGTTCGACGAGGGCGCCAGCAACCAGGAGGTGTTCGACCGGATGGCCAGGCACATAGTGCACGCCTGCATGCAGGGCTTCAATGGAACTATTTTTGCCTACGGCCAGAAGTCGTCGGGTGGGTACTGTGCTATATATACACCGCTATATACCTAAAACCGGGCTGTTTTGCAGGCAAGACGTACACCATGATGGGCGACGGCCAGAACCCGGGTGTCATGGTGCTCGCCGCCAAGGAGATCTTTCAGCAGATCTCCAGTGATAAGGAACGGGACTTTCTGCTTCGCGTGGGCTACATCGAGATTTACAACGAGAAAATCTATGATCTGCTGAACAAAAATAATCAGGACCTCAAGATCTACGAGTCCGGCAACGGGATTGTGAACGTGAACTGCGAGGAGTGCATCATAACCAGCGAGGGTGACCTCCTGCATCTGCTCTGCATGGGAAACAAGGAGCGCACCGTGGAAGAGACCAACATGAACGAGCGCTCTAGCCGTTCGCATGCCATTTTCAGGATAGTAAGTTCTGACTGCTATTATCATTCACATAATCTGCAATATTTATACTATAGATCATTGAGTCTCGAAAGTCAGACCACAGCGATGACGACAAAGTAGTTCAGAGCGTGCTGAGCCTGGTGGATCTGGTTGGATCAAAAGAGGTGGACCAGGCGGGTGCCCCAGACAACGCATACGGTCTCATGATGCTTAGCAACTTGGTTACGAGCCTCTCGGAGAACGTCGACAGCAAGCCAATTAGATTTCGCGGTTCGAAACTCACTCGCATCATGCAGCCTTCGCTGGGTGGAAAGGTTTTGACCTCTGTCATCTGTACAATTAACCCATTGGACGTGGAGGAGTCGACATCCACTATAAGTTTCGCCACGTGTGCCAAAAAGATTCGCTGCAAGCCGCAGGTCATCCAGATAGACTCTGAAACCACGATGATAAGGCGACTGGATCTCGGGATTAAGATGCTGAAGGAAAAGCTTGCTAAGGAAGAGCACAAGAATGCGAGCCAGTTGGTATTACAGGAACTGAAACGTCGCATCAAGCACGACATGTTGAAGATCATTTCCAGCGCCTCGCTCAGCGACCATCGCCTCCAGAAACGGCGTCGTACTTGGAATTTATCCGCCTCAGGCTCAGAAGGCGAGTCACCTGTTTCCGCATTGCCTGTGCCAGAGGAGTCCCGTCTCCCGCGCCCATCGAAGTCGACCATCCTGCGGAAACCCACTTTTTTCGACAACACCACTTATTCTCAACGTCGGGAGATTGCTCCCAAAACCGAAAGCATTCATCAACCCCAAAAAGAGGATTTATTTCAAACGGATAATATGAAACAGTTGGAAAAAGAGGCGGCCTGCAGTATCCCTTCAATAACAAACCAGATGCCAAAAAAGTATCCCGAGTCTCTTCCAAAGTAAGTAAATTATTTTCATGTTTTACTTTTCGATATAGAAATACGGCAAACGAAAACACTATTTTCTGCTGGGAAGTCGCTCAAGTCAGCAATGCACACCGCGCATTTTGAATATGCCAACTCACCTCTGGCGCGCACTAATCTGACACCTGATTCAAAAACGAGGTGGAGCCGAGCGCGGCGTGCTCTTCTGCTTTTGCTCGGCTGTCTTCGCTCTCCTCGCTTTCTCGGAGCAGTCGCTTCGAAGAGGGCAAGCTGGCTCCACTCCGAGTGCGATCGCGAAGAAATCGAAAACAAAACAAACGCCAACGCAAAGAGCCGTCGACGCAGAGGAAAGATTTCTGGGGGATAATCCGGGAGCGGCGGGAGTGGCGACGGCTGATGTGAGCCAGTTTTGCAAATAGACTCGGCTGGATGCGATGTGACGCCCCAGGTACGATCGCTTTGTGGCCCTGGGAGCGCGATAAGACAGTCAGCCGATCGACAAGCCAGTTAACTGGCCGACTTCTTGATAATTTGATCGCTGGAATTCCGCAATGCGCATTGTATTTGCCGCTGCCCAACTGCCAGCACGCTTTTCCTCCGCCCACCGCTCTCGCGCTCCTCCGCCGATCGTGTTGGCATCGATGACGTCGGCCCTACTGCCGATCCACCAACGTTATAGACTGTGATGTAACGCATATATACTGGCTGACCGAAACCAAGAGAGTGAGTGAGGGTCTTGGGTGAAAGATCGCATCTACCAACCCACACAGACAAATGCGGTCGAAATAGTAGAACACTGCAGTTGTACTTTTGTTTTGTTTAGTTTGCGATGGCTGGGTAGTTAGTACCCGTAGTAATCCATTTGTAACATTTGAAAACGATTTCGACAAACGATCAATTTTGTTGTGTTCAGATCATATTTGTACATAGCGTTTATACCATGGTGTGCTTTTGTTTCTATGACCGTGTTCGTGTAACCCACACATCTCGCCTGCTGCAACTTCAACTTGAATGCCGCCAGCTGCTTCTATTTTTAGTGTTTTTTTGTGAACGACGGATTCCCTCGGACAGCACCCATTTAGTTAGGCAGAGTAAACAGTTTGCCAGAGTCAGGCGCACTGGAAATATAAATAGAGTAAAAGTATATTTATGGAGTTCCTCAATTTACGTATTTATTCAAGTATCTCATTTTTCCTATCAATTACAGCTGTGATGCTCTTCAGATCGAGATCTCTGCTCTTAGTGCATCCAACCAGGTAGCAAAGGAGACAATCGAGAAGTACGAGGAGCAAGTAAAGAGGCTAAAGGATAAAATTGAGCACCTGGAGATGGATAACCGCAATGCAGTTAATCTCGGGGAGCAATTGGCCAAGTCCAAGCACACGGAGGTCGAACTTCTCTCTGCCCTTTTAGAGAAGGAATCGACCATAGAAGGTCTGCAACTGTCTCTTAAGGAGCTTTCCCGAGATGTGTTGCGGAACAGCAAGGAGGATCACATGCGATCCATGTGCCCCGAGCTTGAGTCCAGCTGCGAGCGGATTTGCAACAAGTGCTTGGAGTTGGAGCTGCTACTGCAAGTAGCGGATACCACGGGCATGGAGTCAATCGCCTGCCAGTGCGATCAGCTGCGATCGGAAATTGCTGCCACCCGTATTAAACTGGAAAGTATGCAGTCTGCATTCAGCCATGCAAGCTGTGAGGCTTCACAAAAGACCACTGATTGCGAACGCCTCTCCAGACAGATATCCACGACTCAGGATGGTTTTGGACAGCTGCAGGAAAAGTACAACAATCTGGAGCAAAAGTGCATAAGTCAGCAGCTGGTCATTGAGGCCATGCAGGCTGAATACAATTCTATACAGCAAAAGTACTTAAAGCTGCTGGTGGAGTACGAGCATCTGGGACTCACATCGGAGTGCCAGCAGCTGCAGGACGAAAATACGAAGTTGCAAGCAGAGATTGGAACTCTGAAGAAGCGGGTGGAGGAAGCGCAGCGCAAGCTTCTGGAAGCTTCCAATCCTGGTTCCCTTCCCGAAGAGTTGAAGGTACAGAATCTAGAGCTAAAGACGCGCCTTTCTAAGTTGCAGCGGGAATTTGACGAGATCCAGAAGAATTACGACTCTTTATCTAACCAATTGATGGATAGTATTCAAGAGGGCGACGTCCTCCGAGAGAAGCTCAAGCAACAAACAACCAGCTTCGATTTGGAGTCCATGAAGAGTTCGGGTGTGTGCACTGAGTGTAGTGATCAGGAAAACGACTTGGACAGTGATCTGCTGCACCAGTTTACCAAGCTGTCGGAGTCCATCCAACAGATTGAGTTCCGCGACTACTCCGGTGGCAGGCGCCTCTTTAGTTCCAACCAAGCAGAACAGGATCAGAAGGTGCCAGGCTTAAGACTTTGCCTGGAGCCTGCTGAGTTCTTAGAGGGTGACGGTAAACAGCATGATGCATCCGACTCTGCACTCCTCAAAGGCTCTCTGAAGCGTCAAAGATTTCAGATTGTTAAAATAAATAAGGAACAGGACTGTATGAAAGAGGAGGACCTTTTCAAACTGCAGCACCAAGTTGAAGAGAAAAATAATCCTATTGAGGAAGAGAAAGCGATTGTTAATCAATTGCGTATACAAATAACAGACCTAGAGACGGCTCTTCTTAAAAAGTGCGAAATAATTGATGACTACGAAAAGCAAATCGAGACTCTAAGGAAACAAAATGCTGAGGTAAAGATATTGTACGAGGAGTCGCAGAACAACGATGCCACGATGAGTATTCATAGTATTCCGGATGACGACGACACCATTACCGGGCTAAAGGAGGAGCAGGAATCGGAGGAAGTCGTTTCTCTTAAGACATCACTTGCAGAGCTGAAAACCCAGGTGTGTGATCTGCAGGCAGAGCTTGAGGACCAGTTGAAGCAGATGCAGTTGAAGGACGGAAAAATATCCGAGCTGCAAATGGATGTTAGAGAAATGAGCGAGCGTTGCTCATCCATGGAGCTTAAGCTTGCGGATGCGGAGGAGGACGCCAATCAAAAGCAGAATCTTCTCGATCAGCAGGCGCAGGAGTCTTCAGATGATCAGCAGCTTCAGGGAAGCGGTGCAAGACTGAAGTACCGCAGCATCACAGCTCAAGAATCTCTAAAACAGGAGAAGCAACTCCAGGAGCAAACCACTTTTTCCTTCGAATATGAAAGCCGAATCAAGCAACTAGAAGAATCACTAAAAAGGGCACAAGAGGAATTAAGTTTTGTGGAGAAGCGAGAAACAGATAAGATTAACAGCCTTCAGCTGGAGTACATGGTGAAAATTGAGACGACCGAGAATGAAAACCGCTCCAAATTCCGAGCATACTGCCTGGAGTTGGAGGAAACCAAGGAACGCTATGACAGCAGCGTGAAGACCTTGCAGGAGCAACTGTTGCAGGCCAGTGAAAAGCTCGCCAGCGTTACGACTCGGTGTACGGCGGAGTTGGAAGCTATTAAAGATAAGCTTCAAGATAAGGTTACCCAGGCCGAAAAGGAAAGGAATGAATTGATTGCCGTACACAAGGCAGAGCTGGAAGCAATCAGGGAAACTCTGAAGAAGAAGGAATCTGCTTACAACGAGAAACTAAGCCAAGCGCTGGAAGAGAAGGAGAAGGGAATTTATAGGCTTGAGGCGATGCGAAACACAATCGCAGAGCTGCTTAAAACAAAATCTGATCAAGAAAGGGAATTCGAGGCAGTAAAAATGGAAATGCGCCATCTTGAGAAGCTGTACGACAAAAGCCTGTTGCAGCTAGAAAAACTCCAACGCGCTGTCGACCAGAAAAGATCAGAGACACCAGCAGATGTTAAGGGACCCTCCTCAAGCGAGAGTGTAAATGAAATGCGGAAAAATGGTGATCAGCATGCTCAGGATTTGGAGAAGGCGGAACTGCTATCTGAGATCCAGAAAGTCCATAAACAGCACTCGAGTACCCTGAAACAACTTGAGGAAATCAAAGCGGAAATGATTGCCCTAACCAGTCAAAAGGAGTTGGAGAGGTGTGAGATTGAAGAAAAGCTCGAGACTTTCAATTCCAAGGAAGCAGATCTCAAAGAAGCGCTTCATTGTGCTCAGCTTAAGTTGCATGCCCACGATGCGCTGGTGGGCCAGTACGAAGAGGTAAAGGGCTTTTTTTTGGACTCAAATGAGTTGGCGGCGAGCCTGCAGCAGAAAGTGGAGGGCTTGCGCTCGGAACTGCTTGCGTCACAGAAAGTAATTTCTGGCCGAGATTCAGAGATTAAACAGCTTCGCTCTGAGCTTAAGCAGGCCCTTGATGCAACAACAACTGCGAGAACGGCACAACTAAGTTTGGAAAGTCAGCTAAAAGAAGTAGAGGAGAATATGTCTGCCCAGGCAAGTCAGTTTCGACGAGAGATCGCAGATTTTGAAGGTTCAGTGGACGAGCTCCAGCTTAAACTGAAATCTCTTCAAGAAGTCAAAGACAATCTAGAGTCTACGAATGAAGTGATTAAAAGTAAGCTAAAGGATGCTCAAGACCTGGTGGATAAAGAGCGAAAGCTTAATGCCTCTCTGCAAAATGATTTGGGCAAACTAGGACAAATAAAAACGGATCTCGAAGAGCAGCTACGATCCAAGGAGCTTTGCCTGGAGGAACTGACCAAGGAGTGCGAAAAACTACGGTCTGATCTGGTAAGTATAACTTACTTAATGTCTTCACTTTTGTCTCATATGAAATCGTTTGTCAGGATGCTCAAACTAATAATTTCCTGAAAGAAAGGGAAACTTTGAACTTGACCATCTACAATCTGCAAATGAATAATCTGCAATTGGAGGAAAAGCAGACCATTCTGAGGGAGAAGGATAATAGCAAATCTCGGCTTGAAACGGAATTTGCATCTCTGCTAGAATCCTCGAAGGAAAACCAATCTGCCATAAAAGCGGCCAATAATTTAAATCTAGAAATGAAGAAGAAGGTTCAAGATCTCACAAAGGAGTGTGAGATTTTACGATCCAATCTGGTAATAGTTATTTTAATCTGGTTAAATACAATATTGGTAACTAAAATTTTTCAGCAATCTAAAGATGAATATTCCCAAACGCAGAAGGAACTCTTGGAGACAATTTCAAATCTAAAGGACGAAAATCGCAAGTTGGAGGAAAAGTTGATCACATTGAACAAGGATTATAACGAGGATTGCGAAAAGCTCCGTTTAACTTTGGTAATATTGGATATGTCATTGTAGGTCATTTGATCGTTAATGAAACTCTTATTCAGAAATCGAAGCAAAGCGATTTGAGAAAGAACAGAAAAGAGTTGAAGGAAAAGCTGGCTATTCTCAATGAGCAGAATGCAAACAATGTCCGACTTTCAGCCCAGTTGGCGACCAATGAAACCGCCCTTAAATCACTGCGAGAGGACTCGATTAAGCAAAACATGGACATGGAAGCGGCCAATAAAAAAAGACTCGAGATGGAACAGAAGGTTGATAAACTACGATCAACTCTGGTAGAATAATTGTGATCAAAGCCACTTATAAAATAAGTAAATGTGTTTTTTTCTTATTTTCTTATTTTAGAAAGCCAGGGAAATCAGTTTCCTATCCGAGAAGGAACGCATGGATGGCACCATCTCGAGTCTGTTGGAAGACAAGCGTAACCTTGAGGAAAAGTTGTGCACAGTCACAGTCCTGACTAAGGTTGAACGTGAACTTCAGTCAAATTCAGCGAATGGATCGCCAAATCCTGCAGCTGTTCCAACAGCAAATGAGCCCTTGGACCGCAATTTGGTTGGCAGCTTGAAAATGGTACATGTAATTTGCAAAATTTCGAGTAGATCCGCAACATTTAATTGTTATTTTTTTACTTTCGTAAAGAAATCCATCAGTTTTCAGACTGCGATGCGAAAGAATCGACGGATGGTGGCTTACGATGAGCACCGCAAGCAGTCTTGCTGGAATGATTTTCGTGACTGCGGAACTATGACCGATCCCGTGGGTAAGTAATATTTGCTTAGCCGTGAAATCCTCGAATACTCAAATGGTTTTAATTGCAGGTAGCAATTGCCACTGCGCGCAGCTGCAGCTGAGCTGCAAAAAAGACTGAGTTTGGACGGGAGGCAAAACATTGAGTTAAAAGATATGAAACCGATGGGAAGACACAAAAATGTATCAGAATGTTATTCAAGTATTAAGTTTTTTTGTTAAGTGTTATCTTGCAAAGGGTGGAATTCTACATTTATAGTCTTATATTATGGCCCAAGTATCTGTCAAATATTATCACTATACAAATTACAAAAACGAACGTGATCCAAATATTCAAAATTAATAATTAAGATTATTGTTTAATAATTTATTTTGTTTATATGTATAGCATTTTATAAACTATTAATAATATCTTAATGTTAACGTTAGATTCGCATAAGTGGCTGATTCGAGAAATATAAGACGAAAATTACTTAAATGTGTAACTAAATTAGTTTAACGGCTTTTGTTTGAATACCCGACTGCAGCAATCGATAAGTCGATAGCAGCAAAAACACTTATTCCAGTGTTGTGCATTAGCCAAATGGGCCCGCTTGAGTGTTGTGTACGGCGTCAGTGTTGAAAAGCTGTGGACGCAAAACTACGTAAAATTACGACAAAAAAACAGCGCCCCGCGAAAAAAGGCCATGAACTCGGCAATCAAGGTAGGTTCGGCCGCTCCGCCACAGCCGCCGGCAGCGCCGCCCGCGACAATCCCGTCGCCAGCGCCCCCTCCCATTGCAAGCGAGAAAAAGGCGGCGCGGGAGAGAGTCGAGAGTCATTCGTTTGTCTCACTCCTGCGAGTGGGAAATTTGTTGTTCCACCTTGAGTGGTGCGACGGGCGGTGGGCGGGGGCGGTGCGTTTGTTTTGAATTTGCACGCGGTAACAACAAACTGACTCCGGATGCAAATCCGCATGCACTTGCAGGTGGGGGAGATTTTCACGGCCGCCGGACAGGCGTTCAGCAGACTGGGCGATCTAACCATGCAGCTGCATCCCAATGCGGAGTCGCCATCCGGGTAAGTTGATTCATTGTGATGGAGTAGCGAGTTTTGTGGACACTAATCGGAGTGTTTCTGTGTCCTTTGTTCCCTCGCCACGGCTGCAGAAAGTGGACGGACGAGGAGATCGACATGCTGCACTCGTCTATAATGCGCTTCTCTGACGACCTGACCAAGATCAGCCTGAGCATCAAGAACCGCACCGTGTAAGTGATCCTGTGCTCCTGGCGAGGGAACCTGCTGCCCAGTGTGTCCGTGCTAGTTTCAACTAACTCTCCCCCTTGCAGTTCTCAGATCCGCCAGGCGCTGAAGAAGAAGGCCTTCGAGGACGCCGGCATTCCCGCTAAGCAAGTGCCCGTCCAGCAGGTGCAACACGTTCTTCAGACACTACCGCAACAGCAGCCGCAGCAGCCCCTTCAGCACCCACCTCCTCAAGTATTCAAGTCACAGCCCATCGTGCAGCACGTACAGCTGGTGGCGCAGCCAAAGCAGATCATCCTGCATCCACAGTCCACCACTACGACGGGCACGACGGTAACCGTTAAGCAGTACCAGCAGATGCAGAAGGCTGCGGCATTAGCGGCAGCCCAGGCTGCGTCCTCGACGGCCAACAACACGCCCACCATCACGGAGAACATCATTATCCAGCAGCCCACTTCGACTACAGCGACAGTGGTGCAGCAGCCTCATGTGGTGTCCACCTGCTCGTCGACGCAGATCGTGGTGCCCGTAGTGTCGGCAGTGTCCACTGCTTCAACCGTACTCTCGCCCACGGTGGTGATTGCCGACGATGTGGTGAGCACCTCCAATCCTCCAGCGGCAGCGGCGACGGCAGGATCGCCAGCTGGGGCGCCAGCAGGCTTGAAGTGCGGACCAGACGTGTCCATGACCCTCAATCGCATCAATGTCCAGGAGAACGAAGTGGACGTGGAGGAGTGCCTGCCTGCCGAGGTGGTCAAGCTGGACTTCGTCAGCGAGGAGGTGGCCGGGTGAGGTTCGAGCCCTCGGAACGGGCTGGACTTCTTCTACTAGATCTCCGGCCGCAGAACGAATCACGTAACTTGGAACAGAACCGCTACAAATCTAGATCGAGAACTCTTAAACAAAAAGGTTGAGATGCCGCCCTAGCCCTAAGCCTAAACTGTTAAGTGTTGTCATATTTGATATACCCTGAAATCACCTTGTTCCCGGCCCCGAATGACAAATGAATTGTGCGATGTGGAGGAGGAGTCTGTGGATCGCCAGCCACAGAGCGTAGATATTAATTGCGGAGCGTGTATGCCGCGCCTAGACTTAAATTTACGCAAGACACAATAGTGCAAAGTACATAACGACGATCGTGTAAGTTGAGAGTGAATAAACGAGCATTATTTTAAGATAGTTTTTGGGATCCTGGGATTTTATGGGGTTAAGAAGAGATTCAGTTTTGTGCAACGGCTTACACAATCTCATCGTCTAAAAATTGTAAATTTAACTTCAAACTTTTATTTCTATCGGACTCTTATAATTGTACTCTGCAAAAGATGGCGCAGACTAATAATAAGTTATTTTAAAAGTACCCAATGGGAACTCTTGTGTTTTTAATGGTCCGCTCATTATATTTACTCTTAATAATGTAATATCGGGCTACACCCATCCAATTTACTGGACCTATTTAAACAGCTTTCCTTGTACAACCCCCCAGTTTTTTTTGAGTTAATTATTCAATCAACCTTTGAGCTATTATTATTTTATCGCAAAATTTTATGTTTTCAAATCCACTTTTAAACTCTGCTCATAATTGCGCCTACAGCATATTGCCATTCGCATGTCGGATTTCCAACCCGCACTTTCAGAATTTCCAAATCAGAGGTAGCAAGAAGAAGAGCAGCTATTAAAGATACGGATACATCAACAACAACAGGCGGAAAACCATTGTTCGCCACAAAATGAGACTGCATTTGCAAGTCCTGGTGGCCCTGATAACCGCCACGTCCATTGGCAGCTCACTGGCCTACAAACCGGTGGTCATTCTGCACGGAATTCTCTCCGGAGCCGAATCGATGGCTTCCCTGGTCCGGGAAATCGAAGAGGTTTGTTATTGGATTCCCCTTGTTATTGTTTAGACCAGCTGAAAACCCGCAGTGACAAGGTCGAATTCGACGCAAACAACGCAGTTGAACTGATAGACCCTTCTCTTCCTGCAGTTTCATCCTGGCACCATCGTCTACAACTGCGACAAATTCAGTGGATGGTACAGCTTGGAGAACGCCTGGCGACAGGTCGATCAGGTCAGGGATTACCTCAACGAGGTGGGCAAACTGCATCCAGAGGGCATCATAGTTCTGGGTATGCCAATCCTTATACGGTGGTTTGCTACTAGTTACCAATACCTTTTACCTTTCAGGATACTCCCAAGGAGGCCTTTTGGCCCGTGCGGCCATCCAAAGTCTGCCGGAGCACAATGTAAAGACCTTCATATCTCTATCCTCACCACAGGCGGGACAATACGGCAGTAAGTGAAACCAAAGTTCAATTCAATGAGTAATCGCAAAGGCGTCGGATCAAATGCACATTGGTTTACTTTTCTGCGAGTAAAATCTGTCCGTATTTTACAAGCAATACATTTATCTGTATATTATGTAACCTTTTTCGAAACTTTAACTGTAGGGTTATAGAAAAATAGGTACCAGAATGGTTACTTTTATGTATATATGTTTCTTGGATATACTTTCAGCCAGCTTCCTCCATCTGATATTTCCCGATTTGGCGGCCAAGACGGCCTTCGAGTTGTTCTACTCGCGCGTGGGACAACACACCTCGGTTGGGGGCTACTGGAACGATCCGCAGAGGCAGGACTTGTACCTGCAGTACAGCGAGTTCCTGCCACTGATCAATAATGAGAAGAAGACCTCCAACTCCACGTCCTTCAAGATGGGAATGGTGCGGCTGAACAAGTTGGTGATGATCGGCGGACCCAACGACGATGTGATTACTCCGTGGCAATCGAGGTATGGTTTAGTTGGTCGGATAATTTCAAAAATCGAATAATCCCTTTTATTTCCTCAGCCACTTTAGTTACTTCGATGAGAACATGGATGTGATTCCTTTTATTAAGCGAACGATTTTCACCAGCGACTCCATTGGCATCAGGACGCTCCAGGAGGCTGGCAAGCTGATCATTGTGGTCAAACCCCATGTCCACCACCTTGCCTGGCACACGCGCAGGGATGTCATCCACGAAGTGATAATGCCATATCTGGACTGAGCAAAAACCCAAAAATACTGAACTGAACTAAGCGATCAAACGGCTGTGATCGGATAGGCGGACAAAAGCTCACTCTCATCAATAAGCATTAATGTGAAGTTGCTGCCTGGGTAACCAGGCTTCAAAAATGATCTTTTATTGATAATTATTAAGCTCTATATTTTTACAAACTACTCATAAATAGGTAAATAAATTGACAAAAATATAAAATTCGTTAAAAGTATATATTCAATAAACTGTCATCTAATTTGTACTTTAAGTTAACTCTTTTTGTAATAAATATTTATATTTTCGGATAAATAACATTTTATGAAAGAAACAATATTAGTTATCGACAATATTGCTTAAAAATCCCGCACACTTTTATAAATATATAGCAAACGGTAACTCCATTACTTATCGCGTAATCGATTAATTATCGATTCTTCCGCGGTTCCTGTGATGGCGAAATAGGGCGCAAAATCTTATTTGTGAATTTTTAAGCTGGCCACTTGAGCATGGAAGGCACCACGACAGCAGAGCAGGATGCGGACAACGTGATCCGCATACTGGTGGCCACCGATAACCACCTGGGCTACGGCGAAAAGGACGCGGTGCGCGGCGAGGACAGTTTTACTGCCTTCGAGGAGATCTTGGAACTGGCTTTGTCCGAGGATGTGGACATGATTCTGCTGGGAGGGGACCTCTTCCACGACGCGGTGCCCAGCCAGAATGCGCTGCACAAGTAGGAACTACATTGCATTCTCCACTCTATTTTCATTTTGATTGCCCACCAGATGCATTGAACTCCTGCGGCGTTACACCTTCGGTGATCGTCCGGTTTCTCTGGAGATTCTCAGCGACCAGGGGCAGTGCTTCCACAATGCCGTTAACCAGTCGGTGAACTACGAGGATCCCAATCTGAATATTGCCATTCCGGTGTTCTCTATTCACGGCAATCACGACGATCCCAGTGGTTTCGGTCGTCTGAGCTCCCTGGATTTGCTGAGCACCTCCGGTCTGGTTAACTATTTTGGTCGGTGGACGGATCTTACCCAGGTGGAGATCAGCCCCGTGCTGATGCGCAAGGGGGAGAGTCAATTGGCTTTGTACGGACTTAGCCACATCCACGACGGCCGGCTGGCAAGGCTTATCAAGGATTTTAAGGTGAAGTTTAACTGCCCCGAGACTGCTGCCAATGGCGAAGACGGTAATGAGTCCAAAGAGGAGGAGGATTGGTTTCATCTGTTAGTGGTACATCAGAACCGCGCCGATCGCGGAACAAAGATCTACCTACCAGAGGACCTGTTGCCATCGTTTTTGCATCTGGTGATCTGGGGTCACGAACACGATTGCCGCATCGAGCCAGAGGAGAATGCCAGGAAGCGCTTCTATGTCTCTCAGCCGGGTTCCTCCGTGCCCACCTCCTTGTCCGAAGGCGAGGCCAAGAAGAAGCACGTCGGCCTGCTTGAGATCTACAAAGGAAAATTCAAGCTTAAGCCGCTGCCGCTAGAAACTGTGCGGCCCTTCGTCTTTGAATCCGTTGTACTGGCCGACCATGCCGAGGAATTGGGACTTGTTGAAGGTGATGCCTCTACCAAGGTTTTTAAATTCGCCAAGGAACGAGTGGAGGCCATGATCGAGCGGGCGGCAGCCCAACACACCGGTCATCCAAAGCAGCCAACTTTACCGCTTATTCGGTTGCGGCTTCTCTACACGGATGAGTCCTGCATGTTTAATGCGATTCGGTTTGGGGAGATGTTTAGCACTCGGGTGGCCAACGTTCAGGATGTGGTGCACTTCAGCAAGGTGGTCAAGCGTACCAAAACGGAGGCTGTCAATCTGGACAAAGAGGCATTGCGACGCGCTCTGGTAAGGGGAGAAATATGATTACAAATTTTTGATCGTTTTTATTAAAACACGCTTTTTAGGAAGCGGATAATGCCACTCGAGTGGAGGAGTTAGTGGATCGGTATTTCGAAGAGGCCAAGTCAAACAAACCTCTAAAGTTATTCCACTCAAAGGCTCTTGCAGAAATGACCTATCGACTGCTGGAGCAAAGGGATGCTGATGCAGCGGAAAATATTGTCAAGTGAGTTGCAAACGAGTAGCAAAAAACCAGACACTAGAATAATAAGATTCGTAACGACCATACATTGGTTTTGCACTATGCAGCCACTTTTTTGGTGGCGGGTATTATCTGTACTATATGTATTTTTTGGTACCCAGGGAACACCACGCGGAGGATATTACAATTGTAATGGGGTCGTATATTTTTATGACCTTCGAGTCGACTTGAAAAAATAAATGTTAAACATAAAATATTTCAATGTTCCCCAACTAAGCTAGTTTTCTAACTATAGCTTTTCGATATAATTTGCTCCTTTTTTTAATTCATTTTATTAAATTTTTGTATTTGAGATAGAATGATGAGTTTTTCTTGCTTTTTTGTTTATCAGCTGTCACAGTCCACTTGCAATGCTTAAAAAGTAAAACTTTTATAATTGTGTTTAAAATATGTATCAATTTTATGCACATTACAGTCATTATTTGAGTGAAACCATAATGAGAAATCGCCACTTTCATTTCTGCACCTAATGCATTGCTCTACAATAATTTGTTTCATACACCGTTGTTTTTTATTATTTTTAAAAATATTTTCAAAAACTTTAATGTGTATTTTGCAGGTATTAAAAAAAAGATCAGATATGGTGCCTTTAGTTTTCCGATTCTATCGAGTAGTTTTTCTCATGTATGAAAAGCTCAGATGGAACTGTTAAATGCTAAAACTACTCGATTGCCAGAGTACAAATAATATAGATTTATTTGTTTAGGAAACATTTTGTCTTGTAGCCCTATAATTCCCAACTAGTTCTAGTGAAGACTGTAAGGCATGTCGTCTAATTTAGAGTCGCAAAGTAGTTCAAGTAATCTCTCTTACCGGTCGAGCAGTGAGTGTAGTGTATGTACCGGTGTACATATGTACGTATGTATGTCTGTATGTATGTATGTATGTATGTATGTATGTATGTATGCATGTATGTATGTATGTATGTATGTATGTATGTATGTATGTATGTATATATGTATATATGTATGTATGTACGTGCGTATGTATGTATGTATGTATGCATGTGTGTGTACCTTGCACAAAGTAGTAAAAATTTTCTTAATTAAAGCCTGAAGAATGTTTAACTTACTGTCGGAACACATAGTTATTGCCGCTTTTAATATTTGCTTAGGAAAAATATTTTCTTGTAGCCTTTAATTCCCAACTAGTTCTAGTGAAGTCTGTAAGGCAAGTCTTCTAATTTAGAGTCGCAAAGTAGTTCAAGTAATCTCTCTTACCGGTCGAGCAGGGAATGTAGTGTATGTGTTAAAATCGGGTGCAAAAAAAATCGTATGGCGTTACGCATCTTATTATTCTAGTGTCTTTGAAAAACTATATGTATTCCAACCCATTTCCTCCAGGTTCTATAAGGAAAAAGCAGTTGATCACCTATTGGAAGCAATGCCCAACGAAGAGAACATCGACGACGAGCTTAAGAGTTTTCGGGCGCGCCACAAGCACGAGGATCTTCTGAAAATGCTCGATACACAGGGCTTAAAAGTAAAGAAGGAAGAAAAGTCCATGTCAGAGTTGGCCAGCGCAGCGAACGCCCCCATTGCACCCGCGACGGGACGAGGAGTTGCTAAGGGTCGTGGAACCGCCAGAAGTCGTGCCGCCTCAACAGCTGCCACACGTGGCAAGGCCCAGCTAGATGTGACAGTCAATAGTACGGTATGAAAAGTTGGCCTTAAAGCAAACCTGGACATTTAATATTATTTTCCACTTTTCGTGTCCTAAATAGAGAACCTCCGGCAGGCAACAAACTCTCCTAAGTAGCGTCATGGGTTCTCGAAATACTGCGAGCTATGTTATATCGGATGATTCCGATTGACCGAAATTCCGAAGCGCTTGCGTTCAAAGTTTAATAAACATCAGTTTGACAGTTTGATCAGTGTGACAGTCAATAGTACGGTATGAAATGTTGGCCTTAAAGTAAACCTGGACATTTAATATTATTTTCCACTTTTCGTGTCCTAAATAGAGAACCTCCGGCAGGCAACAAACTCTCCTAAGTAGCGTCATGGGTTCTCGAAATACTGCCAGCTATGTCATATCGGATGATTCCGATTGACCGGAATTCCGAAGCGCTTGCGTTTAAAGTTTAATAAACATAAGTTTCCATTTTTATAATCTCTAAGAGTACATTTCAATATTGTTTATTATTTGGACTTTATTCTCAGGGTTCGCGCAACTGCATAATATATTAGCCTACAACTTAGGAGCTATATGAAGGTGAACGGCTGCTGTCGGACTCCAATTGGTCCGACCGAATGTGGATCGATTCTTTGGTAGTCTAGCTGCATCAAGACTCCGGCGCCGAAAAACGGCGGAGATTTCTCCAGACACCGCTATCGCCACTGTGCAGTCGCGTTACTGCTGGTGGTATTCGTAGTAGTAGCGATACGGATCCACTGAAGAGCTGCCGCCGGCGGCGGTCACGCCCACGCCACCGGCGCCTGCCCCACCACTCGTCTTGGACACCGGTCGGATCACGTATGTGTTGCGTCTGCAGGAAAGCACAGGAAAGTAAACTAAATGTTGATCGAATTCTTTATGGAAAGGTTAAGTTTTTGATAAAGAGGTCTTTAAGGAAGGAAGATTCATACAAGGTTCATTTCTGAGAAGCTGGATTATACCAATAAATACAAAAGCTGAAGACTTACCTGTTATGTTCACCCGCATGCACCTGGAAGCTGGTCTCCTCGCTGTGGTCGTGCGAGAAGAGTTTCTTGAGCGCTATGATCCCGGCAATGGTCAGGGCCACCTTGCTGATGACGAGCGCCTTGCCGGCGATCGCGGCCAGAGCCTTCAGACCCAATGGACCAGCGATGCCCATGGCGGTGAGGAGGGCGGCCACCACGTACTTGATGTGGCCCCCCTCCTTGTGCTTCTTTTTCTTGTGGCCGTGCCCACGGCCCACGCTATCCTCTCCGCCGCCTCCGTCCATGTCGATTTTGAGCGTGTGTGTCCGCATCAGCTTATCCGCCTTGGAGAGAAGGGCTCGATCGATGGGCGCCAGGTTGCCAAATTGCCGGGCATCCGTCAGGGAGCCCAGTATGCTCTCAGTTTCGGTCTGGTTCTGCTTCTCCAGCACCAGACCATCCACTATCTTGATGGAGTCCTGGTCCAGGGCTCGACTAAGAGCATGGAGGGCTTTCTGTTTCAGGCAGCCAATGAAGTCGTTCTTTTCTTGGCAATCGTCGTAAACCCTCCTCACGAGTGCCATCTCGGGACCCAAGCCCCAGGCTGATCCCCAATCACCGAGACTGGAGGTAGTTGCGGATTCCACCGCGTTGTGGCGCCTTCTCCTTGGAGTCACTGCCGTTGAAACGGAGGCTACCAACGCCAGGAGCAGCAGCCACTCGAGACGCTTCATTGTGGAGTCCTGGCTGACAGATGCGGCTATCCAGAGTTCTGATATTGTGATGAGGTGGTCTTTGTTGGCTAATATCCGCGTCCACTCGCCGACAATCTGAAGATGCTACTGCAGCGAAATCGCTGGGCGGGCAGAGCTTTTATAAATTGCGATCGGAGATTGCGGCGCACTCAGACGGAAAGAACTGGCGTGCTCGATGGGATGCAGACGGATCTCGGTTGGACCTGGAGCAGCAGCTACTGGGAGGGCAATTAGCACTGGCCATATTTTGTTATGCGTTCGACCGACTCTCCTTATCGTAGTCGTCTGTGAGCGCTGACATGTTTTCGTTACCCAACCACGGATGGATGCCTATGCATCGTGTTCAGGTCCCGCGATCGCCGTGGAGGTGCGGAGCTGTCCGCCACAAAGTAGCACTTTTCGATTTCTATACGCTGTATGTATGAATGAATACGGTTGTCAATGCAGGGGATAGATGATATGTACAGTCAAAGATGTGGATTTCACTGAATTTGAAATATATCTTTAACTCCGAAAAACTTGTTTGCTAGAGCTATTATGATTACATAGATCGCAGCTAGATAACACATAGATCCAATTATTAAGTTTCTGTCAAATAATAAGTTCAATACAAATATTATATAAAATAGTATGTAGAATTAACTTTGGCGTAACCTTTTTAAAAAGTATAAAAAAGTATTTTTTAATTTAAGGAAACAGTCTTGAGTTTTCAAAATACGTCATTTTTAATACGTAGAATTCTTAAAAATAGTTCTCGATTGTCTGCAACAGAACAACAATAACATTTGCTATATAAAATATTTATAATTTGTTATATACATCCACGAGTAATTAGCTAGTTCTATAATGCAAGTGACCACTGTAGAAGCTCCCATAAGCGATCACTGGAGCACTGGAGCACTAGAACACCGGAACTGCCCAGATATTCTGAATAAAGCACACATAAATCAGTTCTTAGATACGATAGTAGAATTAGTGCCAAGACTAAGTATGGCTAGTAGGATCTAGAAAGCAGTAAATGCCAGCTGTTTGCCGGAGGCAACAACCGATCCACAGACTATATCTCAGTAATAACTTATAATATTTAACGATGCGTGCAGCGGAGTGATTAAGTCGAATCGGCTACTGCCCCTTGGATTGGGATCTTGGACTGGGATCTCCGCTGGAATCTTTGCCGGCACAGGGTATTGCTCGTGTGGGAATGGATGTATGTGTAGTCCGCAAATTGGTTATCATAAATTGCAACTGCAGCTTCTGGACGGAGCAGGGGGATCCCCGTTGATGCCGTGCGGTGATCGCTGCACATTGGGCTCACTGGCCCACTGGGTGAAATTGAGTTGGCTACAGCCAAGAAATTTTCTTTTCTGCGCACCGACTGTGAAAATCAACAGCTCCCATCCTCCACCGATTTTTCAGCCTTGGGAAGATCACAGCGCATCTGGCCAACTGGTGACAGTTAATCGCAGTGAAAAGTGACTGCGACACTTTCGCCCGGTTATCTTTTTCACCCGGATAACGCTAATTTCTCTAATTAGGCAAATTGGCGTTACAAATGTGCAAAGTTAACAAAGTTATTCCGATAAAACGTTTACGTATGACTATGAAAGTCGATGGTTAATAAACTATTAAAGTTTATAATAGATATACTAGATTCGTTGAAAAGTATGTAACAGGCAGAAGGAAACGTTTCCGACCATTTAAAGTATATATATTCATGATCAGGATCAATAGCCGAGTCGAACTGGCCATGTCCGTCTGTCTGTCCGTAGGAACTACTAAACCCAGAATCTTGAGATTAAGCACGCAGGTTCCAAAAACTTAGGCGCAGCGCCAGTTTGTTTCCAAATGGTGCCACGCCCACGCCCATACTCTACTAATCTTCATACCTCAAAATGTTTCTGGCGCAATTCTCTAAAAATCTGCATTCAAATTTAGAAATTTTTTTTTTTTAATTTTTTTGTCATTTTTCTGATGTATGATGTGAAATTCAAAAATTAAAAATGTCCCAAATCTGAAGTTCTAAACTCCATAACTCAACTTATCTTTATCGGATTTTGAAGTGGCACACCTCTAAATAATTCTGGCGCGATTCTCTAAAAATCTGCATTCAAATTTAGAAATTAATTTTTTTTTTAATTTTTTGTCATTTTTCTGATGTATGATGTGTAGAAATTCAAAAAAAAAATAAAAATGTCCTAAGGGTGAAGTTCCGAACTCCATAACTCAACTAATCTTGATCGGATTTTGAAGTGGCATACCTCTAAATGTTTGTGGTAAAATTCTCTAAAGATCTGCATTCAAATTTCAAAATTTATTTTTTTTAATTTTTTTTGTAATTTTTTTTATGTATGATGTTGTAGAACTGCAAGAATGTTAAGAAATGTCCCAAGGCTGAAGTTCTTAACTCCATAACTCAACTTATCTTTATCGGATTTTGAAGTGGCACACCTCTAAATAATTCTGGCGCGATTCTCTAAAAATCTGCATTCAAATTTAGAAATCTATTTTTTTAAATTTTTTTTTTTAATTTTTTTGATGTATGATATGGTAGAAATTCAAAAAAGTTAGAAAATGTCCCAAATCTGTAGTTCTAAACTCCATAACTCATCTTATCTTAATCGGATTTTAGCATTCTATATTGTTTCTTATTATATTAATGATATTTACTATTAGCTACAAATTTTGGATCATTTCATTCTAAACGGTGAACCTTTTTTCTAGTTATTCAAGGGTAAAATATCCTTAGAGTTATTCTCCCATTTTCTTATTTTCAGAAGCGTGTTATTAACTTAAGTATTTATTTAATAAAATAACTATAAATTACATGTTACTCTTATTATCCAGAATTTTGAAAATATATACTAAAAGTACTTCCTTATTTTGAAAGTTCTTAACTTTCCTATCTGTTTTTAAGAAAAAGAAATTACCAAGGCTATTAAAGTGAATATGTGACTATCTGTGCTTTTGCAACTGTTATTAACAAATCTACTGGCTGACAATGTAAGCATATATAAGTCACCTATATACACACATGTCCATATACCTGCAATTGCACATACTCGTACATATGAGTGCCACGCACACGAGTCCTCTGCTCAAGAGGGCGTAAATAATTTAATACATCAAGAAAATTGGAAACGAAAGTTTCTTTGTTTTGGTTTTGGCGTGGCCGCAGCCAACTTTTAGTTTCGATGCTCGTAGATAGCTGGGAATCCTCCCGAAAAGGACGACTGGGCGGACGGACAATTGTGCGATTTATTTGCACATTTCGGCAGACCATTTGGGATTCCTGGGGCGGTTGGGAGCTCTTATCGTCAATAATCATCATATGCTCAAATTTTTGGCCGCTTAATTGGAAAATTGTTGTTGTTCCTGCGATACGCCTGAGCGATTGGGTGATTGGATGGCCAGGATCCAGCCGGATGGATATGGATGGATAAATGGATGATTGGTTTGGCTGCCGAATGCCGAGTGCCGATTGATTGATGGCCTCCACATTGTTGTGCGGCCTTGTTGTGATAATATTTGCTCAGCGCCAGTTTGATTGGCATTTTGGCCAAGTGCCTTGTGGTTGGTTGGCTTGCATCTTTGCGGCAAGTTCAAAAGTTAATAATACTGTCAGATCATACTGTCAGTCATAACGATTTCTCATTAAATACTATGATAACAGATTGGCACTTTTATAATGCTGTGATGTTGTTTTCTATGCTATCAAGCAATATTATTAGCCCAGTTTTATTATTATACTCATAGTATCTGTTATGGAAACCATTTTTTATGTGCCATGGTGGACCAATTTTTGTGATTTTTCTTTTTACATAGCGCTACTGCGCAAAATCAGAAAAGCTTGTCGAGGGTGGAATATGAGTTCATATCCCGTCATATTTCATAACACCCACTTCCTGCACTTGCGTTTTGTGGTTGCGACTCCTTTGTGGGCGTGTGGGTGGCGATTGCTATCCAGTCCAAAATGGCGACGGACTTTGGGGATTATTTTCCCCGGACAGGAGGATGCACTACTGGTTCTTTGAAGTTTTCGTTGAATTGGCAAATGACAGGCGGCGGGATTGGGGGATAACTCCTCTTGAGTGTGCACCACGTTGGAAAATGCTCTCATATCAAAAGAAGTCGAAACCACAAAGAAAATCTCAGCGGCAAATTTTCAGCTACATCAAATCATCGAGTCCCGTATCCGTACTCGCATCCGTATCCGTAGTCGTGTGCCCCTATCTCAGCCCTGTTTGCACCTGCACCCCCCTGCAGTCCCTGGTACCCCTGCTTAGACAAAGAATTTCCCCCATTTTCCAACTTCACGTCGCCTTTCTCTGGCGACTGCGGTTCGTTCGCCTGCTGCCAACTTTCAACTACTTGCAAAGTTTTCACATTTTAAATTTGTTGGCTTGTTGCTTGTGCTCCGATTTTTCTGCTGCCATTTTCCTGTTCCTCAAAAAGTTTCTTTGTTTTTCTTGCTGCTGTTCTTGAGTGCTGGTCGCAATTTAACAGTGGAATTCAGGTGTAAGCGTACTTCAAAAATATTCCATTACTGATCTGGTGTTTTGCTAAAATTTTGCTGAAATTCAGGCAATCTTTGTGACTGACTTTATTAATCATAAATGTTTATACTGAATATAGAATATAAATATTATATAACATAGTCACCTCCGTTCTTCTGTTTATTTTTAAAATGATTTTACGGATATTTTAGAGGTAAGGACTAAGACATGAAATTGATTGTAACAAACTGTATATATACTTTGAGAAAATGAAGTGCACTTGTGTGTATTCAAGTTACCCTTACTGGCAAGCCTTTTGTACATATTTGAGTGAAGAGACAGATTTGTGGAAATCTTTATTTCGTTGCCCCCATGAATATAAAAGGCGTGGCACCTTTGCCCCGGACAAAACTCAAATATGCCAGGATATGGGCTGGCTACGGATCCTTCGCCACATGCTGCGGTCTTGGCCAAATTTGCTTGCACTACATATTTTGAAGTTTACCTACAGAATACTTGGAGCTCGGCATATATCTGATAAGCTCGGAAATCCCCATCCTTGGTGCGCCTCGGTGTCGATGGTTCCTTTGTCTCCCTCATCGCTATCGATTGC